TCCTTTCTAGAGTATTAATAAACTCTAAAAGCCTCAAACCGCAATCCAGGAGACTGCTTATGACAAATGCTGAATAAGTCTTAGCTTTAATTTAATTCTGATGTTAAGCATAAAGCTACTGAGCATATTCTACACACACAGAAGAATTTCAATCTAATACCCATTTTTCATCTTCTGTTGTTTGCAGTAGTTCCCGTGAAAATGTAAACTGTCCATATGGAAAGTCACTAGCAGCCATGGTAATATTTGCTGTGTTGCTAGATTCATTTATGAGTCCTCCATCACTGATTTCAGTTAGTCGAAACTGGTAGTAGTACTTCTCCTCGGGATGGTTATCATCTACAGTCTAGGGAAAAGAACCATGAAAGCTAAAAGGACTTAAACCATTTTCTGAGAGAGATGTATAATTAATTTTTAACCTAGTTACTACCCAAACAAAGGAAAGAACTGAAAATAGCTCATGCTGTAAAATCTCATATACCTGTAGTAGAACAACAGCTGCCGACTGCCTATCTCGCATTGTCAAGGTCCCCGATACCTCAGCAAATTCTTTATGATGAGGAGGAGTTATATTCCAATATACCTTGATCTCACCAAAAATCCCAGGACCACGCACAAGGCTGCAGGTAAGAATGCAAACACAGATTTTATTTTCCATTTTTAACATTTATCCACAATATGGTAAGCATGAATTTTAATACATAAGGTCACTATCTGTAAAATTTACTCTTCAGAGGCATAACAGGTTTGCAGTTCTCTTCAATTTCCATGTGTCGGGAGGCAATTTGAGCTAGTATCTTTAAGGAGATACTTCTTTGACCCAATAGTCTGAATGTGGGGGCTGAAATTTACACTCTCTTGCTTCCATTATGGTTTTCAGGAGGTACAGATGCAAACCAGATACAGAAAGGGACTGAGGGGAAGCACCCAAAGGCAACATATTTTTTAAAGCCCGAAGACACTAGAATACTAGTATGACATCACCTGAGTTCCAGCAGTTCCATCTGCTACATTTTTAAAAACCTAAAGTCAAATCCCACTCGTGACTCAAATCTTGGGGAACTGCAAGCCAGAGTGAAAATCCGACTTGGCTTGATACGATCTACATCAGCACAACTACGCTGCAGAGAGCATCAGCTTGCCTTTTCAGCTTCTTACAACAAAACATTTTGCTAATGACATCTGGGAGAACACACAAGAGTTCGTATTTTCATCACTCCAAAAAGACACATCCTAGGCTCCTGTTCTCTGCTGACAGAAGGTAGTGATATAATTGCATCTTGTTTCAATAAAAACCCAGTTCTCAATTCTGTGTCATTAACCATCATAGCAAAATACTGATGCACAGTTTTGTAATAGTACTTATTCGGGAACCAATCTCCAAAAGCACAGTCAATCTTGAAATGTCATTGATTTCCCTTTTCCCTCTCTCTTCATTAAAATCATCTTTCCTTTAATGTATTCACATTACAAATATTTCAAAGACTCTGAAAGAAATATTCATGGCTCTAAAATAACAGTGAACTGATTTTAAACACAGCTTGCACATTGCCCTTTTACTAAACCAGGCCTTTTACAAGTGATAAGTAAATGAAACATTCAAGAAAAGCATGATAAATATGGAGTCTCAATTTCTGAAAATTTGGAAAAGACTGTTGTCCTTTCTTTAGAATAATTAGTGTTGTGCCTACCTAATAAGAGCAGTTCCATCATAATTTCCTGAAGGTTCTCCAATTAGAACATGCATGGATGAGGGAGCTATCCCAACAATCCCAGAAGCTCCTTCATCCCCTACAATAACAATTGTTGCCAGACCTATGAAGAAAAGAAAGGTCTTCATAGTAAATTGAACAATATTTACAAAAAAAAAACAGAGGTGACTTCTAAAAATGTTTGTGCTACAGCAGTTAAGAACAGTCTGCCAGAGACAGTCTAAACAATATCCACCCTCAGAGATGTTCAGAACTGGAGTGGACAAGCCTGGCCCCAATTTGATCTAATTGTGAAGTTTCCTATGCCTTGAGCTGGATTTTGGACTTACATATTCTTAAATGGTTCTTACAGATCTGAACCTCACATTTTTTTTTTTCTTTTCATTATGAGTTCTTTATGCACATTTTCTGGCATCTACATCTGATTTTTTTGTTGTTGTTTTTAAAACTGCAATTTGACCTCTAATTCTTGATTTCTTGAGACAAGTAAGTAATTAGGAAGCACTGACAGTTCAAACTGCTATCAACTAGCTATACACCATATACACAAGTAGTGCAGACTAAAGTAATACAGACGTTATCAAATTTTCAGACAAAATGCCTGAGAACATAATGAATTTAAAGTTTACCATTTACAGGGGATATCTCTGCATCACCAGCAGAGACTAGCTGAATTGTATATGTTTCGTTCCCCTCCAATATAGCATCTTGTACTGCATGTAAAACAATCAACTTCTGGGATTCAGTCTGCATCACGTAAAAATAACAGGAAAAACACATATACATTAAGTAAAAAAAAATAGCTTAAAAATAGAAAAAATCAAATGTTAAGTATGCATGTGGTGATATATTCTGTATTATGGCTTTTAAATAAATATGGTTTTTGCAGATTAAGAAACAAGAAAAGATCATATCAAATACTGCACCCAACTCCCTCCCCGCTCCCCCCAAAATGGCTACTTTGATCTGAATAACAGTTTAAATAATTTTAAAACTATGTTCACATCAAAGTTTTAAAGACAGAGAAAGCTTTCCATACAAAATCTTCTCTTCTGTGAAAGCACATTCGATGGAACATATAAATTCTATGGAAGAACATTATTCAGATTAAATATATGGATTCAGAGCAGATTCTGCTCTTGTCTACATTTTTGACAGTGGCAAGTAGCAAAATAAGCTTTAATAAGAATACAGAGGGGAGAATAGCTAAATGTTGAGCTTTCCTTTCGGGTTCTGTTCTGTTTCTCCCTCTCTCTACATACACATACACACATAGGCCTGTATATAAGAATTTCAGGAATAAAAATCTATTTCCAGGCCTACCAGCAGAGACAGGCTAGTAAAATTATCCAATACTGTGCTAGACACTAGTAAATTTACAAAAAATGCATGCTTCAGCTGATTAAAAGAGACAACAGATATGCCTGTTTTTTATTTGCTGTACAGCAGCATTCTATAGACCAAACAGATCATGATTTATCTTAAAACACTGTATTCAGCATTTCTGTAGTCTGTAATAGACAAATGATTAAGACTAACAACACTGGCTTGTCAATACCCAACATTTCAACTCCTACATCAGTTTTAGCATACTATGAAACACAGTACAGTAAAATACCACTGTCCAATTTGACAGTCACTTGGTTAATCTACTATTTTTTTTATCTTTCTCATGCTTTCAATGTCATTTTCCTCAGTAAGATAAATGCAATAGAATAACTACTTCTGTAATTATTCTTCATATTCAGTATATTTGTGATCGTCTTCCTTAATCAAAAAAAAATCTGAATTTAAAGAACCTATCTTCCTGATGATTACATTATACTGATCTAAAGAGAGTACATCAGCTTTTCTATTTGTAAAAAAAACTATTTTTTTTGGTGTTGTGAACCAGCTCCACCAGCTCAAATTGTTTTTTTGCTAATGGTATAGTCCTTAATAATTCACTACTTTTAGAAACCTCTAACAAAATCATGCAAGTACACATAGAAAGAGAAAGTATCTGGAAATTTAAGATGACTATATCATTTACTATAATATCAGAAATACCTCATTGAAGTGAAGGGTACCATTCAGAGGTGTCAGGTCATATCTGGCTGCCTCCTCAATAATCCAGATTACTCGAACTGCTCCATATCCTCCCTGACTCCGACTTACAGTGAGCACCACAGTAGCAGCATCATCATCAGGTTTCTGAGGTTCTTTCACTGTCACCTAATGAAGAAGAGAAGGAGGTAGAAGGCATCAATACACTACGTTGCTAAAACTGGCTTTGAACTGATTGACAGACAATATCATCAATGAAAATGTATACACGGACAAGAATGAAAATCAACAGGAATATAACAGATGTAAGAAATATGTTGAATTTGACTAGCAAAGATTAGTCACAGAAGTTATTTTTAAGTGCCCTATGATTCAAAACAATTGCAGACAATGAGTCACACGTAGTCACAGCACCAGCAAAATACAGAGCAGCAAATCATTCACAACAACTACAGTAATATTCTTTTCAGATTTTTTTTTCAAGCTTTTGCCTCAGCAATACGGATTTTAAAATTCAGCGGAGCACCACAATTTCTTCCAGGGATGTTGGATTAAATTGATTCACTTAGGCAAAAACCTGTACCTATGCTGCAGGACTTTTGTTGATACTACCACCTATGGAACTAATGAAAACAAGCATCAACCTGTCTTTGAGTAGGAAAAAAAACAAGCTCACATTCTACTGCAGTGAAGGCTTACAAAAAGCAGCTATGCATTAGCGATATCAAGACACAATCCTGTTTTAATAGAAGACTGTACAATTCCAATCATACTCACAGCTTTTTCTTCACAGAACTGCTTGAGGAGATAAGCAGCCTTCAGCTTTGGTTCACAAACCAAACACCGGTGAATGCAGATTCTTCTGGAAAGAAATGCTGCTTCAATAAAAGGTAATAATACTCTGATCTGACCTCAAGGTCTTTTACAATGGTAATGAGACCAGTAATTCATTTCCTAAGGTGCCTAAGAGTAGGGAAAAAAAAAAAAAAAAAAGGCACATCTAAGCTTCATTTATAATATTCTCTGCTTGAAAAATGTAGAAGTAACATAGGTGAATTTGATAGTAGACCAAAACATATGGTTCCTCATGATACTTTCTTTGGTCACCTGTATATTTATAATAAGATAAGAGTGTTTATAAGTTAATCTACAGTAAATCGTAAAACATATTAAGCAAATTAAAATCAGCTGATTGCTCTGCTTTGATACTCAGTAGAATGTACAAGGAAATAATACGGTACTTTAACCAAACCTGTGCTTACAAAGCAATTTTTTTTGTGTGTGTGTGTTAAAAAAGGTTTAGGCCATTTCAAATCAAAATGTATACACTTAGTATTTTCAGATGCACTACGAAATTTTAAACAGTACTGTATATAGAATATAGCTAGAGAAACATATAGGTTCATTATGCAAGTTCATTCAAAATACACATTATGTTACAAGTTTTCAAATGAATGCGCAAAGAAACTATTTCACTACTGGAGGTAATACATATCCCTATATGTTCCTGTGTGGTCATACACTTATGAACATTTGGCTTTGCATGTTAGAGCACCTAAGACAGCAGTAACATGTACGTACATGAGACAGGATTCAGACTATAAAGAAAATGTGTTCAATGAACAGATGAAAATTTTACTGGAGAAAAATAAAGGAAACTCTATGACGGCAACCCACAGTAAGTTAAATTTTCAGCAACTGCATACCTGTCCATCTGCAAACGTAAGGTTTCCAAACATTGGTGTAAAGTCTTCAAAGCTTGCAGTTGAACTAATAGCTTCCCAAAACAGGGTTACTGACCCAAAGCTTCCAGCTTGTCGAACAACTGGAAGCTTCAGTATATTCTGTGGTGGTGGTACCTCATAAGCAAGAACAGCTCCACTTGCATCCTGAAAATTCAGTAAGATAAGAAACTGTTGAATGTGGCATCAGATGTTTTTCTGATAAAAGTTGACATGGAAATATTCAAACGCAATGAAATCTGTAGCATCCTATGTTAGATGTATGCTTAGCCTCTTCCATAAACTATATTGAACAAGACAGCCTCTGAATATCACATCAGTCAAACTGTTCATTTGATTTTTACTTTCAGATAAGAATAAACGCACTTGTAAATTGGTTTGAATTCAACGTTGACCCTGCTTTGAGCAAAAGGTTGAATTAGACAAGGTCTAATTCAACTTAAATCATGATATGATTCTATGATTTATGTCCTGCCAGCTCCATAATCAACTTCATACATTAACCATGAAAAAAAAATTTTTGGTCTAGTGTCTATCCTATTTACCAGGGACAATTTCATTTTATAAATCTACTACGAGACAATTAAAAGTGTTCTGAAAACACACACACTCTTGCTGGAATGCAGTTTTGAATATTTTTCATTCAGTCTTACCTTTTTAACACTGAAACTAAATATTCCTCTGGGGTCATCATTCTCTTCAATTATTATTTCAGCTATTTCTAACCCAAGCCTCTTCACACTTGGCTGACTGCCAGTAGCAGAAGAATCTATCAGTTGCACATCAGTAATATTGATTATAAATCCTTCCTGTAATTCTGGAACATTATCCTGTAAAAATATATTTTTTTAAAATGTTGCTTTTCTAATGAAACTTGTATAAAATACACAGAAAAAGATAATGATTTGCAGATTGTTTTCTGTTAAAAAATTGCCAGCACTTGGGATTATATTACTAATTCTTTGCCTCACAACAGAGTAAAAATAAAACAAAGAACCTCTGCTGAAATTGAGGAGCTGAAGTTGGCAGTCATATTCAAAAACTGTAAGAACAGAGATAATTCTTGCTGGCCAGATTGTTTCTCCTTTCTATAGCTGGTCAAATTTTAGAAGCTAAGACAGGAACTTGAAAATTATGAATATATCCAAAGAATACACATACTTTTCAAGAAAAAAAATATTTCCCCAATTACAGAACACTCTTAAATGGCACATAAAATTCAAAAAGCAAAAAAGATGAAAAAACAGCAGACACCTAAGACATTTATAATCCTCTCTTTAAATATAAATATATTAATTTGATATGAAAACAAGCAAAAACTCGGGTTCATTCCCAGTAACTAGTACTCAAATTCTTTTGAGGCAGGGGGATGCAATTCAATTTAATTGATAACAATCCAGCAAGCAAGAATCTTCCAAATCAATCTTCCTTTCCCTAGAAGACATTAATAACTAAAGCTACTGTGAGACTACTCACATGAAAAATAGTGACTATGACAGAAGCTATTGCTGTGTTTTCTTCCATGATGATTATTTTCTTATCTATCATATAATCCTCATTTTCTGTTGCTTGGTTGGAGACAGGGAGTTCAAAGTCAGGCATGACGCTCAACTGAACTGCAATATCTCCGACAAAACCATGTTCTCGAACAATTTGTAAAAATACAGTAGTTGAATTTTCCCATCCTATAAAAATGGGGGAAAGAAAGGACAGCAAGATATGATTGTTTCACCCCTTGCCCTGATGGCTTTCTAGCTCATGCAAGTTGAGTTAGAGCACACTTTACCCTTTGCAACACCATCACAAATGGACTATATTTGGATAACTGAATTCTAAGGCTAATAAGCACATACAAGTTGTGTGACTATACAAAAACTGTACAAATTGAAAGAATTTATGATAGAATCCAGAGGAATGATACCATACTGAATTTTAGTGAAACTCCTGTTTCACTTTTTTTTCTGGCATTTACATGCCTCTAAAGTCACTACCAAGCCTAACACAAAAAGAAGAAAATTCTCAAGAAAAGAAAATTCACTAGTATTGGTACAATTCACTTGGGAAACTAGTTTCCAGAACTTACAGGATTCCTTCTCAATACTTTCAGGTAGAAAAAACAGATGACACTAATTGGCCATACTATAGAACTGATTAGGAAGTTTAAACTGTAAATATAATCTGATATTAGAAATTGTACACAGAATACACAGAAATTGTATCCAAAAAATGGCATAGTTAGGTGTTTTTAAGACTAATTCTGCTGCAAAACTTCCATAGAAAAATGCTACTTCTAAGGACAATCACATAACCAGTACCATAATTTCAATGAGGTTGACTTTGGAGAAAGAAAAAAAATAAGTATTTGTCTCAAGGAGATAAAAATCAGACCTACCTTCTGGCTCCATGACTTTAACAAAGTGAGACTCTGCATGCCACCCAATTACACCATGTGGAGAATCACTAGGTAAAATCGTAAGTACAGCTTTTGCCCTTTTGGGATCTATGATAGCTCCTCTCATGGTATCCTGAATGCCCACAGTAGTAACGTGGGTGAGTGTGATATCCACAGTCTCCGAAAGCTCTGCAACACTGTCTGCAAGGATTGTCAGGGTAACAGTGGACAGGGCTTGACCTTCTGAAAATGTAATCTAAAGGTTTAGAAACACAAAGAAAAAGTAATATTTCTTCTTTTTTTTTTTTTTTTAAATCTCTGTCAATAGACAAAAAAAGTCCAGAGAACATTAACAATGTATACAAAACAATACAGGAAAAAAAAGAAAATCAGAAAATAGGACAAAAAAAAAAACAGTCAAGAAAATGGTACAACACCTAACGTGACAAAATGATTTTAAGTATTGGTCACACAGCAAGAATCAAACTCTTAATCAGAAGCATGATTATCAGATGCACTGAACACTTAATTGAGAAGGAATTTGTTATAATCAAGCTAAAAATGCCTGAAAAAAATGCCTATGTGAAAAGAAGGCATTCAGCTTTTGACACTCCTTTGGGACAAGTGCACTCCAGGCACTAGACAAAATTGCAAAATTGCTCAGTCATTCCAAAATGATTAAACACCTTAATTACTCCAGAACTGTTGAGGTTGGAAAACGACCTCCAGAGATCATCCGGTTCAGCCCTGCCACCCCTCAAGGAGGGGCAGGTAAACAAGCTCCCAGCCTAAGATCACGTCCAGTTGGGTTTTGAGACTTCACAACCTTTCTGAGCAATCTCTTGCAGTATTTGACAACCTTTTATAACATTTTTTTTTCCTACATTTAAATGGGTCTTTTCCTCCAATTAATATTTTAGTTACTTCAGTTCCTTTATTTCCAGTTGTAAATTTTGTTTCTCTATCAGTTCCTTTATTTCCAGTTGTAAATTTTGTTTCTATAATCTTTTGTCCCTTATTTCCCCACAGCTCTATAGTCTCAGGGACCACAAGGCTTCGTATTTTCAATAAATGGCTACACATTATGCTGACCCTAAAGTGTACCAAAAGGTTTAGCTAATAAGAAACCATAATTTTTAACACTGTTGAGCAACCTGAAGAGTCTCAGAAAAAGGCAAACTGGGACTTGTGATATTTCCCTAGGTAACTGAATCTCTCAAGTGTATAGATATATATAGATATATACAGGCAGGAAGAAGAGCAAGAATGTCTAAATTGCCACCTAAGCCAGTGAAAAGTGAAAGAAAAAAATGAAGATAGGATACATTAAAGACAGAGCTTTATAGCATCTGGATGGCATTGAAGTATCTGACTCTAGAAAAGCAACACTGATGGCTGTGGTATTATGCATCAGCTGGAAATAAGAATTGCCAGATCCAAAAGAGATCAGGACTTAGGAATTAATAGAAGACAAAGGAAATTTAGTATCTGCTATCCTTCCTTAGTACATCTGCACCTGCTGTGCAATACGTTTTCAGTTAATGCTTTACTAATCTCAGTGATATTATTACATACCATTCCTGAAGCTGGAAATATATCACTAATGTTCCCACTGGCTATCCACTCTACTGTCACTCGTCCATACGTTCCTATTAAACGTTCAACATTCAAGGTGATTAAGTGATCTTGTTCCATTTCTTCAACTTGCTTAAATAAAGAATTCTAGAAAAGATAAAAGTGGAAGAACCATAAAAATATTTTATTTCATACATGATTCCTTAGGAATTTCAGGATTTGAGCCTATGACAAATATAAATGTATGAATTTCCCAAATATACATTCATTAATTAAATTTAAATGACCTAATTTTCAGGAGTATTCAATACTCCTAGTTATCACGGAGGCAAAATATTAAAATGTCAGGCCTCTTATCTAAAGCAAAAAGGTAAAACTTTTTTTTTGAACAATTTTTTATTTCCCAACTTTATTAAACAGATGACAAACAAATTGAATTTCCATATTTTTACTGCTACTTCTTTTCTGTCATTCATTCTCTTCGCAAGTGCAGATGCAATGTTTCATTTCAGAGAAGAATTTTCTGTGTTTTATATCTGCAGTATGGGTTTAGTATAACCCTGTCTGAATGATTTTCTACTGTGTTTGATGACTTAAGAATACTATCTTCGGTCTGACATTCTCTCCAAACTGATTCACTCCATTACATAACACAATCAGGTCATTTTTCAGAGAAAAAGAATCTTCAGGTTTGCCTACTTAATTTCCTCAGTTAACAAGCCATAGTGACTCTACGGTGATATAAATGCACATACGTGCATATATATGTGGCACGTAAAAACTGAGCATTTTGTTCGTTGTAAAACAACGTTGATAAACTAACATGCTAATCTAAATGTAAAGAGATTACAGATCTCACAAAAGAAACAGACTGTGGAAATGATAACCACATACAACAAGGCTAAACAGGTGTCAAAAACCTATTATCTCAGGTTTATTCAGAACAATACCATCACATTCCTTAATTTGCAGTTTTAGCACATTAGCATTTCACTCTTCAGGAATGTACATTTATTTTAATGATTTACCTTAGAATTTTTACCTGAGCAAATGCAATGACTCCATAGGCATTGTCATTGGATGGAATAATTATTTTAACAACACCATGAGCACCAATCTCTGCACCTCCTTTAGGATTTTTCAACAGCACTCTGAAGCTTTCTTCCTCCTCTGGAATAACGTCATCAAGGATATTGACTGCTACTATAACTTCCATGTCCTCAGGCTCAAATATCAATTCACCTGAACTAGCATAAAAACACATACATCAAATGACTAGAAATTGAGGATAATGATTAATGGCATTTCAAACCTCTATTGAAAACTTACAGAGCATTTTCAGAGTTTTAATTTTCATTTCTATGGCTCTAGGTAATTCAAGTTTAAAGCTTTCATTTAAAAAAAAAAAGCATAGAAGAACTGAAAGAAATTATGAAAGTAATATAATTTATTGTAAATAAAAGCATAAAAGACAAAGATATAGCCACAGGTCCCTATCACCATGCTTCAAGGTCTGGTGTGAGATTGTTTCACTTGAGAACCAAATTCTGTGAAAAAGCTCCTGAGTGATAATAAGCACACCAAGCACATAAGCATATAGTGCTCTCCACCATGAGAAAAACACTGCCACAAGAAAAGAAATGCTGTAAGACAAGTTATATGAAACAAAAAACCTACCTAGGTATAAAATCTGACTGGTTGGAGATTGCAGCCAGTTCATAAATTTGGGAGCAGGATTCAGCAGTCAAAGCAATTAGGCTTTTGCTGGAATTCAGAGACCTTGCAGTAACTGAAGTTACATGATCCGCATATGGGGCCTCCAGGATTGCAGAGAATTGGTTCACTTCTGAGTTCCAAGCATACAGTGCTGTTGTATCCCTACCAGCTAGTAGAGCATGAACTACAATAAGCAAAGAAGAAAAAAGAAAATCTCAGTGGCATATTTAAAATTTTGTAACACCAGAAATGCCTTTGAGAGAGAATTAATTACAGTAACTTCTAAGGCACAAATGCTCATTTTTTTTTTTCATTATCTATTTATTACTGCAATTTCAGTATAACAATCTACATTTCGAACAAATATTGTCATTGAAGTCTTACCTAAACCTGAAGGTGGCATGAATATGTGAATGTTTTTTACAGTTTGGAATGGAAGAGACTGAAAATGTCTAAAGGTAGACTGCCCTGTCTCCCAGATAAAAATTTCAGATGAATTTCCAGACTCTGCAAAGGAGCAAAAAGAAAAAAGCTTAAACATTTTTTGACTGGTAGTTAAATCACACACTGGTGGCCACATGAAAGTTAGAATTTGACAGCTTTAACTGTAAAGGGAATCCAGTTGTATTTTTCTTTTTAATCTGCGTACAAAGCGTCATAGAATGACCAATACCTGAATCTTACCAGTGGTAAGATGAATCATTGGTATCGCATAAGGGCATTCGTGTTCACATATAACTACATTCATATTACTGTAGGATAACAACCAATTACAAAGAAAAATACAGACTGTAACCCAGATTTTTTCAACAGACACAGGAAGGCATTCACAAAACAACACATAAAATATCATACTCATAATAAAAGATACACAAACTGGGATAAGTGATGAAGCAGCTTGAATAGCAGAATTATTTCCTACTATTCCTGCAAAAATACTTCATTTGCTGCGTAAGTATTTGAGAATGAATGTAACACTATTATTTTATCAAGAAAATGCTGTTTACTTTGACAAGATACTGGAGAGAATTGCCACTGCCCAGTAATACTTCAATCCCTATTTCAATTTCTCTATTACACATGCCTCTCCCATCAAACAAATCATCATATGCTTAGTCAGATTTGTTTCCTGCTAAATACCTTTTGCAATAATTAAATAGATGTCTGATCCAGAAATCCAGGCCTCCATAAGTTTTATATCATTTGCTGGTACTTCATGAAGTTTTCTAAACTCATTATTCAACCACTGGTACAAGACAGGGTTCTGGCTGACATTTGACAAAGAAACTAATAGGTACAGAAAGCTTCCTCTAGGAAACAAGGCTATATTCAGAGCTCCATAAAGTGGAAGTTGATGATGCAACACAAAAATGTCTTTATTCCATTGGAAAATCTATAGAAATACAGAAAACACTTATTTACTGGTTCATATAATTAGTACAAGGAGAGCATAAGGAGATGCTAGGCTGAAAAGTTGAAAAGACTTATACTGAACTGAACTTCTCACTTCTAAGATGGTCTCTACATTAAGACAGAAGAACATTTGTAAGGCAAATTACGTTACTACAAGCAGCTATGCTCACCCTTCAGGCAAAGAGCTTTTTGCTCCGAAGCTATTTCTTTCCTATAGCTGTTTTACACACTGAATTTCAAAGCAGAAATAACAGTAGAATGAAACCAGATGCAAGTAGTTTCTTGTGTGGGAACTACTGGTAAGTTTTAACAAGTCTGAAATTTTCATTCCTATAAATCCATAATACAAAAGTAATGCACTTAGAGATTTATTTTCCTTTCATTTGTTTAGCTCAAAACTAAGCAAACTAACCACAAAGTCAGAGAAGACAGAAGTATACTCCAACCTTGATGGAACTGGAATGGGTTGAATGACTTGCAATAATCAAATAGTCTTCTTTTTCCACAGTAAAATGTTTTATATCTCTGGTATACAGAACAAAAAGAGTTTGTATCTGTGGGGAAAATATGGAAAAGAGTGATTATAAATCACTTCAGAGTTTGTTAACAGGCTTCATTTACATAAATATCTTTATAATTAATTTATATTACTATATAATTTATGATCCCATTTTTAGAAAATATTCTACGGCTTGATTGCTCCACAGTTCTCCACTTCCACTTCCTACATACGGAACCAGATGCGACAAACCTATGCCATTACACATTTTATGATTTTATAAGCAAAACAGATTTACCCACAACAGTCTGCGCTCAGGTATGAATGTATACACACTATTGTTGGAAGCCTCTTGTTTGTCTTCCCCATGACTTATCACAAAGTAAGGAGAGGCATTGATTTGGAATACCACACACCTTCTAGGATTCCATATACTGAAATTCTGAGAAAGGGATAAAAATAAGGAGACTATTTTTAAAATTTGTTATTATATTAACAAGCAAGTTTAGTGTTTAGGTATAAAAATTTACCTCAATAGGAACAAATACTCCCTTCCATTGGTAGATAGTTGAAAAGGTAGCTGGCGGTGTACGCAAGAGAACACCATAAAGAGTTTCTCCTGATGTAAAAAAACACCAAGCAGATGCTGACTCTTCCACAAAACTTTGCAAGACAGACAGCACACTGATACCACCCCCTGCAATATAGTAAAACAAAATACTACTTACTTTTAGCTTACTCTTGAGGTCTTTTCCAACCACATTTTCATAATTTATCTGCCAAATTCAGACCTAATATCAGAAATGTTAAAATTGTCTCTCACCACTTGGAAAAGTGTAAAGCATACAGTAGTGAAGCTATAATGAGAATGAAACCATAATTTTTTTTTCATACTTTTTCAAGTGTTCATAGATGTTGCACAGACAATTCCAAGTATGATTCATGGTGATTCACTTTGCAATTTAGCTAGGCAAAAAAAAATTATAAAACAAGTAATAACCAAATGGCAAAGAAATAACAAAATTACGTATTTGTTCCCTTCCTCCACTCCTCAACAGGAGTTCAGGAACTACGCGCAGCAGCAGTTTTGCAGAACAAGGCTATACTGGGTTTATGTGAAGTATGTCTCACATACTGTGTCAGAAAAATCCAAAATTACAAGGATTAAAGAATATGCTTTGTGAAAGAAGTCCAATTAAAATAAAATTCATACAAGTGACAAAAAAGGGCAGTGGAGACTACTGACACTATCAGAAATAGTTGATTCTAAGATGCTTCGAACAGCTAAGCCGTTCTATCTACTGAATCTTGACATGCTCAGAAAAGTATTAATTATATTGATCAGGTCTGAACCCATTAAATTACATTCCAAAATTATATTATCTGTTTGGCTAGTCTGTTTATCACTTACACTTTGACAGAAGCAGTGAACTCATCATAAAGAGAACTTACTGATGCCAAATGCAGTATCTGACAATGTCTCCCACTCAACACTCACAGATGTGTTGAGGCCATTACTCCGTGAAACTTTCAAATAAACCGTAGTATTCGCTTCTTCAACTATCAGAAAATTTGTCCTAAATAGGAGAATGGTGAAAAAAGAAAAAAAAATTGCTGTAGTAAGATTTCTATAGTATAATCCAATCCCATTTGTAAAATAAACAACAGAAATAAGAATGAAATATCAATAATTAGTTTCACTACCTGGCAGACTAATAAATATACTCATCAATCTTGCCTAGTAATCTTTTTTGCAAACTCTGGCAAACTGGATATCAATTCAATAAAATCTTTAAGCAATCTGAAAATCAATCACATTGTAGGTAGCCTGGAGGATTTTTGAAAATATCATTCTTAATGGTTCACTTGCTTCTGAAAAACAGCCTTGAGTGGAGGTATATTTTACTCAAGTTTAGAAATAAAAAATATAAATAATAAATAAAGTATCACTCCAGGGGCACTGATTTGAGGCATAGCTCTAAACATGAATTGCTGATTTGTGGAATATTTTGACACGAATAAAAAAATCCATAAAGAAATTGACAATTCTGATGAAAAACAGTCTATCTTTAAGTCTTTTTCTATTCTTTGTAGAGTAAAAATGGTGCAGGATAGACACTGCATATTTTAAACTTACAAATGTTTTAAAACGGGGTTGCCGCATACCTTTTTAAAAGATTAATTGAAAGCAAAGTGGTAGAGAAATACCAAATTTAGTGAATATGAAAAACTCCCTCCTTTTACCTGAAACAATGTACAGTACCTATTTGTAACTGGATAGATGCTGAAAAGTCCTAGTGGAGCTTGGTTCTGTAATACTGTGATCATAGTTTGCACTCTTGTGCCTAGTCTGGCTCCTCCAGTTGGATTGAACAGGGTTACAATAAAGTGCTCATCCATTTCTGGTTCTTCATCTAGTATCGCGGAAATGTGCAGTGTCTAATAATAAAACAAGTACACAAGTCCATTGAAATAAGACCAATGCACCATCTCTATCATACCACACTACATTTCTATTCTGACACTGTAAGACTTTGGGTAGCACAGAAAGAGAACAGCAGTTCTTGAAACTGGAGAAGACATAACAGAACTGAGAAGGAGAGTTCAACGTAAAAGACCATTCCCAAGTCATCACTCTGGAGGCCCTCCTTTGCCAGAAGTTAGATGAGCATCTTTTTTTCATATGGAATAGGATCCTTTCAAGTTCATCTCCAATTAGCAGAGAAAAATCTATACAGAGGTCAAGAGCCCCACTTTTATTTGGGGCTCATTGTCTTTCTTTCCACTACCAAACAGGAAGAAGTTAAGAGGTCCATATCCGGATTCAGATCCCTGTTTATTTCTGCAGTAAATCATATTTAATGGACTATTTTAACTATCCAACTTATTATGGGTCTGCCGCACTGTGTTTACAAACGTTCATAAATTGTAAATCAGTGTTTCCAAGAAGTGTTTGTTTCAGATTCTACCCTGTTGCTCATACTGACCAGATTCTGATCATACCTGAACTGGTAACAATAAACAAACTGCAACTAAACTTTAGAAGAGGTAGGATTTCATTAACTTAAGCAACTTCATTCAACGTCTTTCGTTTTCTAGATGACTTTGTGGGGGATATAAGAGTAGGTGTGACCTTTGTAACAGTACACTCTATTCTGTTCAGATGAACTGAAGTATCAGAGAATGAGAATGAGATTTTTAGTCCTACCCTACCACTCCTGCAAAGCATTTGATCTAAAGTTTGTGTTTCAGCTACCTGTTGAATACATACAAGGAAGTGTTCTTAATCATGAATATTATCTTGATAAATTTTCAGTTTACTTCAACTGTTACTACTTCGACTATAACTATTACTATTATTCAACTTTTCAATGAAATACCTAAAAATGAGCACATTTAATTTTTCCTGCGTTCCTCCATAAGATAATAACAAAAACAAACAAACAAACAAACAAAAAGTCATAGCTCATGATTCCTTTGAGGATGAAAAAAATAAGAGAACATAAATCTAAGACAATGTAATTTCCAACTTATTTCCACCAACTTCAAGAACGCCTCCTTCATTTCTTCTGTAACAACTACTTGTATATTACCTTGAATCTGACTCCCTCTTCCAAAACAATATATCCTTGAGAAGGGGTCAAATCCACCGATGCCTCTGAAGAATTAATTTCACTTACAAGACACTGAACAGTCATGGTGCCAAATATCCCCTGAGAAGGCTCTCTAATGATGGTTAATATTGCAACACTTTCCATCAAATGGAGAGCTGTTTGCTCTCTTAGGAAGAAGTGATCGCTGTTATTGAATGATAAAATTCCATGGCCATCATCATTGGCAAGAATAGTAATTGTAGCTTTTGAGAAATAAATAATAGAAATGTACTTGGATTAACACAGTAAGATTATACATACATCCTGATAAAATACATACAAACACAAATTCTATCTGAAAAGGAAGAACAAAGTCCTGCACCTGGGGAGCAATAACCCCTTGCATCAGTACAGCCTGGGGCTCCTGGTGGACACAAGTGAAACCTGGATCAGCACTGCATTCTCATGGCAAAAAGACCAAAAGCAGCATCCCGGGCTGCTTGGGGAGGAGTGTTGCCAGCACTTCAAGGGAGGGGAACCTTCTGCTCTAGCCAGCACACACATCTGCAGTGCTGTGGCCACTTCTGGGCTGCCCAATACCAGAAAGACATGAATGTATTGGAGTGAGTCCAGTGAAGGATGGCTGAGGAACAGGAGCATCTCTAACAAAAAGAGAGGCTGAGAGAGATGGGACTGTTCACACTGGAAAAGAGAAGGGTCAGGTGGAATCTTATAAATGTCTATAAATATCTGATGGGAAGGTGTAAAAGACTACCAGGTGAGACTTTCTTGATCGTGTCCAGTGACACTTCAGGACTCAATAGGTACAAACAAACTACAAGAAGTTCCGACTGAACATTAAAGGTTTTTCTTTTTTTTTCTTTTTTTTCTTTTTTTTTTTACTGTAAAGGGTAGTCAAACACTGAAAGAGTGAAAGAGGTTGCTCAAAGAGGGTGTGAAGTCTCCATTCTTAGAGATACTCAGCACTGGATTGGACATGAGTATGAACTTGCTCTAGTTGAGCCTGCCTGAATGAGTAGAAGACCAGGTCATCTCCAAGGGCCAGGTCCAACACTAAATTCTATTGTATTCATGTTCTCACTTCAGTATATATGCAAAATATCTACAATGTTTATGATGTTACCCTGCAGAGACTATGTAAATACTTAACAGGGAAGATCTCTAGATAGGAAGAATCTAGAATCTCCTCAAATATAATATAATTGCCCTTAAAAAAGCCTAAGTTTGGTGCCATAATACTTATTAAGAAGGTCATTTTTTAAGCTCTTTAATTTCCTATTTTATATATGATCTTGTTAATAGCACAGATTTATTTAAGTGATGTTTAAGAACTTTTGGGGAAAGTTTAAGTTTCTACAGTACAGTAGTTTCTGAAAGATGGTTGTTCAAAAGTAATCTTAGTCTTACCTGTTGTATTCTCCCCTAACTCCAGTCCCAAAGAAGGATTTGTTAAAATTAACTGGAATCTCTCATCACCCTCAGGAATATCATCATCGAAAATCATGACATCAATAGATTTATGCCTTTCTCCATCAGCAAAAAAGAGAGTCTGTGAGTGAACACAACATTGAATATAAAAAGCATTGAACACTTGCAGCAGTTAGTAAGTACACAGAATTTTTCAGTGAAGGTATGTACAATTCTTTTAAATAGAAATGAATAGAAGGCATGAAGAACCATACTCCCAATGTCTCTTGTAAACTGATCAAAACCAAAAAAAAGTTCATTTTGTTGCAATAAAGGTAAGTAAGAATATTTACTTTGAAAGTCTTGTTGTAAAAAGAGAAAAAAAATGTTTCTAAACATATATTCATAAATGTTTTATGAAAAAAATGTTTCTAAACAATATTATATGAGGCAGATGCTTGAAGTTTGAAAGTTTAGAATGCATTTTACATGAAAACATTTTAATATTTAAAATGAAGGATATTTTTATTTCATCCTATTTGGATGACAAAAGCAATTAAGTGAATTGAAATACCTAGCTATATTGCCAATAATTTTGCAGAATATCTGCAGATATTCTTTTGAGAAAGCTGGAAAAATGAATACTGTATATAGAGTGTGTTTCTTACCCTTGAGGTCACATTAAAATCCAAACCCAGCTGTGCCTCTAAATTTTGGGCATAAAAAAACAAAGATACATTTCCATAAAATCCTCTGTTTCGATGTGCTGTTATTGACAGATTCCTCTGAGTTTCATTAACTTCAAAACTAAAATAAAAAGAAAGAAAAAATCTCAGTGCTTATTAGATGGTATTCTTTTGAATATGAGAGCAGATTGTTATTTCATTTTCACTCTGTCTACATGCATCTCATATGAAAAAGTCATTACAGTACTAGTAGTTGTCCAAAAAGAACTTTCACAAAACATACACTAAATGTTGGTTCTCAGTGTGAGAATCATGTTCCACTTCCTAATTTTACTGACCTAATTGATTCTTTGTCCTCAGAAAGACTGACCCTAACTTTAATGGAAACTTTATCATTAACTAAAATAAATGAATAAATAGGCAACGCAACCACTGACACAGTAGGTTCTTCAAGGAAAATAAGACTTACTTAGTACTTTCCCATTCAATTACTCCTCTTACTCCATCATTAGCATCAATAACTATTTGAGAAGCTATACCTTCCAAATCTAAAATATAAAACAGAAGGACAAAAAAATAAATAAAATGTCTATTTCCACAATATTCAAGAATCACAGAATCATTTCTCAAATCCTTACTAACTTTATAGACAAAAATGTTATTTTCCATTTCCAGAATGTTGAGAAATTAGATTGAACAAAATAATTACAAAGATTCTGAAGAAAATTGTTCTTAATCCCTTAGCAGAGTGCTATTGACACAATGTCTGTTATATTTAATAATGCATAAAAAGAAAGAAAGAAAAAAAGACTACAGAGCCTAGCGAACATTAGGAAGGCTAAAAACAGCACAGAAATGCTAGGAAATATCAAAAGCAAGATTTGTTGTGCAATCTTAATTTGTGATGATGATGACACTCAACATTTTGCATGATGCACTGAAAGGGACAATGAATAAGAAATTCAGTATTTTATCTTCTATTCATGTTCAGTGCCTGATCATAAACCTTAACGGCATACACCTCAGATTCTGCTAATACAGAATTATTAATTTATTTGTGGACTGTTCTCTTACTTCATGCAGTGTAATACTTTGTTGCTAAACATAAGGAAAAACTTGTTTTCTCTGAGGGTAGTAGGACACTGCAGCAGGTTGTGGAGTACCCGCTTTTGAAGATATCAAAAGCCATCTGAACCCAGTGCTGGGCAATGTGCTCTAGGTGACGCTACTTGAGCAAGAGGTTGGACTAGAAACCTCCAGAGGTCTGTCCAAGCTCATACATTTTTGGAGTCTGTGATTCTGAGCTATACTGATTCAGAAGCATTCTCATAGTAATCCTGTGAGTTTCAGAGATGTCATTACACATATTTCAGTGTGAAAACACTGAATAATAGAGGTTAGTGTCAGAAATGACCACTAATGTTAGCGGACAAAACCAGACGGTTGCAACTTGTTTTTTTCTGAAAAATCGGCCTTGATTTGTTCAGATTACCTTACATGATTACCTTAATTTACTTCTAATTACATTTTATAAAAATCTAAAAAAAAAAAAAAGAGGAATGACAACTTCTAGAACCAGTCTGACCGCATAAAATGAATCCATAAAAAATCTATTTTAGATCTGTATTATTTAGATACTTAGCTTCATAGAAAAGATTTTTATCTATCAGGCCAGTTAAATTGCATAGAAGCTCTCATAGAACTTTTTCTCTCTTTCCATTACTTTCATTTTTGCATTTAAGTTAAGCTGGTTCTTCCATCTTCCCTAGAAAATGGGAGCCGAAGGAGCAGGGACAAAAAACTATATGCTTTCCGTTCCTCCTCCCTTTCATTAATATCTCAGATCATATAGCGGTTATTTAAACTCACTGTGCTGTATCACAGACATGCTGGGCATATCATGGCCATGCCACAAGTGGCATGTGCAATATATTCCAGATGTATTGGGTTGACTGTATATGCCAGTAACATGTGTGAAATAGTCATCTCTTTTGATATTAGACTGCTACCACGATAATGCTAGATATCCAAAACAAATGCATTGTATTCATAGGGAGCTGAATTCTCAAGAAGAAAACTAAAGTATGTAAACAGTAACTAAGTAAACTAAAGTAAACTAAAGTATGTAAAGTATGTAAAAAATAAGAAAATTGTCTGACAGTAGAATTTATTGTGACATTTTATCATTATAACAAACTTCTGTCTCATTGGTTAAAACATTCTTTATGTCAAATCGATTTAAGCTAATGCAGATAGGGTTAATCACAGGTCACAGTCCACAATGGAAGGTGATAATATATGGCACCTAACACAACTTAATTCAGATTAATCCATTCAGTTATTCTTTTTATATTTTATAGTCAATTAACTAATTAGAGCCTAGTCTCTAAAAATCTGGGAACAGTCTTGCAGTTTACCTTTCAATCTGTAATGAATTAACTCAGTCACCTCTATAGGCATGCAAAGAAAAGGGAGAAGAGTCAAAGGTGTTAGAAACAATCAGTATAACTATTTCTTTAGTACAGTTGTTATTAAAGCCAGTAGGGCTTTTGCTATTAAATTCAGAAGAAGCAGAATGAGTAGTTAACGAAGTAAATGATAAATGAAGATAACTGGGAGATTAGAAAAGCTATAGTATATAGATAAAAGCAGAAATAAAAACACTCTTTTAAAAGAATTAACTAAGAATTAACCAAGAATTAACCAAGAATTAACCATTTACCACAAAGTAATTTGAGATTTTTGTTTCCATTATGTACTTAGGTAACATAAATCAGACGAAAACACTGCTAACAGAATTTTTCAGATAATTGTGCTTTTCAATTGATAATTACTAAATCCTCTACAAAAATTACCCAATAATTTTTCCAGAGTCTAAAAAATGCAAGAAATAAGTGCAATAATTTGCACTTTGATATCCTACAATGCTTTTGTTATCCTATAACACCTTTTTTCTCCAGATAATCCTGGAGAAGCCTCTTGACCTAGCTAGTAAATGAGTGTGATGACGATAATCTCCAGGAGTATTATAATGTGTATGCAATTCAAATAAAAGAAAAAGCAAAGATAATTCAGTAAATTATACCTAGCTTAGGCGGGAATGAAGTTGAATGGTTCATGATGAGTTCCACTGAAGACAAATTAACTAAGAAGAATTCTTGCATCTCTGGTATATCATCCTGCAAAACACAAATACAGTGCATACTCTTTGCATTTTCCTTAAGAATTATTGATAAAGGTCATCAAAAAGTAAGTCACTAGAAGTCTGTTATAGTAAAATGACATTGGAAATAAATTACTATTCTATAAAAACAAATAATTACGTATAAAATAAATAAATAAAAGAAAGAAAGAAATTATTTTTATATTGTGCAGAAATACTTTATTTGGCTCTGCAATCGCTGATCTTGAAAGAACACTGTAAAATACTGTATTTCATGAACAGGTACTCCACAGACACTAAATTATTCCTTTATATAACTTTCTGTCCAGCTTCATAGGGATTAAATCTCAACCCAGGAAAAGTACAATGGCTGTAGCAATCAGTTCACATCAGTATGCAAGTAATGAAGTACTCCATTCTGAATAGTTGCTGCAAAGCTTTAATCAGACAGTTTAATTTCATTTATACAGAAGTAGAGTTTTTTTCTGCAATTACTTGTTCCCTTTCAAATTTAACATTGAGATGAAAGGCATTTTTCTAAACTGCAGTTAAAAATATCTTTAAAAAAAGCATATGTTGCAAGTTTTAGGTTCCAAAATATTTCCTATTTGAACTGTATATAGAACTGTACAGATTTAAATGGTTTAAAGTTTACCTCTAGAATGGTAATATTTATGGCAGCTGATGTTTCTCCTTCTTCTAAAATCAGTGATCCAGAAACAGGTATATAATCAGTTCCTGGTTCAGCCATGGTGACTTCTGTCTCATTTCTTATAGTGAGCAATCCTGGAACTGTTGCATATGTAACATTGACAGTACCTGTTTAATTTGTGACAAAAAGAAAAAAAAATCAGTTTCTAGATAGTTTTCGCTGACAGAGAAAAAGAAGAGATAAAATGCTCATCTTCAAAATGAAAAGAATAACTGCAGAACAGAAGGATTAAAAACATTAATACAAAGCACACTGGAGCCAAAGGGCTATTGATTTCAGGGGGCTTTCAGTCCAGCCTTTGGTGACTCATGCAATATCACAAGACACAAAAATCACTAGCACCAAATGTACTCAGAGATTTAAGGTGCTATGGACCTTATAGTACGTTGTTGAAGCACTATCTAGGACATTTAATATATTACTAGTTACAGTTTTGGTGCCAAAGGAAATAGAACATTGCAAAAGTGTTTATCTAAGAAAGGTTCTAAAGATAATACAGGGAAGTACAGCTTAATAAAGCTAATTTCCTTCACAGGTAGATTCATATGAACTTCAATACAGAGTAAAATGAGAGGACACACTGAAAAATGTTACCAAGGGGAAAAGTTAGATGTGACTTTTAGAGTAAAACCATGCCTCACAAATCTGTCAGAGTGAATCAAGCGGCAAAATGTAAGGAGAGTGATCTTGGAGATAAAATGACAGGTGAAAATTCAAAGCTAGCCTGTGTGAAATTAAATGTAAGGGATAAGAGAGTCTTAATTCTAAATAGTGGTAGACTTTATTAGGAATTTCCACTCTGTAAGAGCTATTACAATTAAAGTGGATAACTATCTTAAAATGTTAGTTTCCTGTGTATTGTTCAAAAAGTAAAGTAGAATATCGATTGAAGTTTAAAAAGAAATGGGAAAGATAGAAATTTCATTAAAATGTTTAATTCCATCAACCTACTATGTGCCCAGATCTTAAATATCAGTTATACTTGGTTTGTTCATTACAAAACAAATACAGGACAAGATATAGAGGGAGGATTATCACAAATGTCTAAAAAAAGTATAAAAATGTAAAAAGGCAATTATTGTACTTTTTTTTCAAAAAATACAACTGAAATTCTCAGCACTTTTAGAACAGAAGAAAATATTTTTGCCCATGTTATATTAAAAAATTGTGGAATTTTCTGTATGCTAAAAGATAAAACTGATTCAAAAAGGAATGAGATTTCTTCAGAGAAGACAGATAAACTGAAATTAGAGTTCTGGATGAAACCTTTTCCACGGGAAGTTCCTAAACTGCCGAATTCTAGAAGTTCCAAGAAATATATGGAAAGTTCACTGTATACATAATATTTTTCTCTTGCATCTTTTATTTCTTCTGAAGAGACTAACACTGAGACTCATTAAGCATAAAGGTAGCATCTGTAATGGACACCTAACTTCATCACAGCTTCCAGACTCTTTGACATGGAAATGAGGACTACGGCTCTGGTTTTAACTGACAGTCCCAGTTCTGCAGTAGAGAGCCTGTAAGTTTAACTTGGGGAGCCTAATACTTGACTGGATTCAAGATTGCCAAACCTTCTAGGTTCCCTGCCTTAGCTTTCATTTACCTAGCGATTACTGAAACACAAAAGTTCCAGTATACAAACCAAGTGATCCAAATTCTCTGTTAATAAAGAGCTGAATAGTTTTGTTTTCCTCTGGAATTAAAATTTCCCTGGATGTGGAAGCAAAATTCAAGATTCCATGTGGTTCATCACTAGCTTCTACCGTCAACACTGCTTCATATCCTTGACTATCTAAAGCAGCGGCTCCTGTTGAAGCAACTCCTGCAAAAGCACCAATAGGCTAAAGTCAATGAAGTGCTAGGCAACTTTCTTCTCATTATAATATTATTATTACAAATAACAAACAATTATGCAATGCGAATGCAATGAAACCAAAACCATGATGCACTTACTTAAGTCTATGGAAGGTGCAGCACAATATATGTATATTTACAGTTTAGAACAAATGCAGAAACATACCATCACAGTAAAAAAGCATATGCCATAAGTGTAAAAATCTCAGAAATGAGCAAACTTAATTGAACAGTCACAAACATCAATAAAATCCTAAATCCCTAAAATCAATAAGGAAGAAAGTAATTCACAAGCTTAACATTAGATTTCATTTTTCATTCATTCCATTAAAAAATGACACCCTTGCCACTGGATATTGAGCATGCTAAAGCAAATTCTATATTTTAGGCTAGATGTTCTCTTGGCGAATAACTGCTCAGGTACCAAAATTCGTGCTAGTCTTCATGGATGGACAACAGGAGCTAACAAATGATTCTAGAAGTTGGTAAGGTACATAGCAGCAAATAATCCATACCAAGCTAATGATATGTTAAGGCATTAAATTCCTTTTAATACAGAAGAGTTTAGAAGAGTTAGAGAATTGGACTGGTTTCTTCTAATTTAAATAGTAAGAATAAAATATTTCTTTTACCTTGAATTCAGAGACATATCAGAAAATCTGTCTGGAGCATGATAAAATGTATGTTACATTTATGAAGTCCTAACTGAGACATCAAACATATTCTTAATACCAGCTTTTGTATTAATAGAACACTGCAACAGTGACTGATAATCCAAGAAAGCTTCTGAGACCAATACTGGGAAATACAGCTTCACATATCTATTTCCATACATATGCACATGTATTTGTTCATGTAAAGTTATGCATATATATAAATGCAAAAGTATAAACATGTATATATAAAAATATTTTATTAAAATAGGAAGAACTTAATATATTTTTCAGCAGTTGGAGTTTAGTCTTGCACCTCCAATATGTTTTTATTTATATGACAGATATTATACCATTAAATTGTATTTTTATGATACAGCATGCTATAATTCTGCATTACCTTGTGTTTTGACGTTATACAGGATGATTTTATACTCTTCCCTTTCTTCAGGAATATGGTCATCCAGCAAGCAAACATACAGTGTTGCATTCAATGACTCCTGTTTATTTTAATGACAATTTGATTAATCATCACTAAAACAATACAAGCATACTACAATTTGATAAGCATTTTGAATGATTCCTATAAAAATGTTAAGCTAAAATATCAAAAAATATAAGGTCTCTCCAGTTTAGAATTCGAAGAATATGGGAACAAGTAAATAATGAGGTCAAGAAACAAGGACTGTTATGAAAGCAGACAACCTTCTTTTCACTTTCACAGCCCTAAACACAATGTTTTCCTTCAGCTATTAATTCTGCTTATGGTCTTACCTCAGGAAAAAAGAGTATTCCAGAAAAAAAATCAAAATTTTGTTTCACGCGATGTCCAACAATCTTCCATTCAACAGTAACATTTCCCAGTCCTGGGGAAGTTCTAAGGACATGGAACTGCACTTGTTCTCCTAAGAATAAAGGACAGGGTACAACGTTCTGGAATTTCCTCTTCTACACATCAACTATAAAAATTGGCACGACTCATTAAAACATGCACAGACAAGAGAACAATACTGTATTACAAACCACACAACAGTAAATGCTCCGTATGTACTATCTATAACACAAATAATCTTCTACAACTGCTCTTTGACAAGAAACATATATTTCCCTATATTTACAGTCATGAGACCTTACATAATGCATGAAGAAAAATGCTTGAAATTACCTGTAAAATCTATTTATTTGAGTTTGAACTTACAGACATTATTGGTGTTAGAAAACATTAACAAAATGTTAATAATTTCTGATAATTTGTGAAGGTATCAATATCAATTGACAACAGCCATACTTAAAAAGAAAGTATTATATTTTTCAAAATTGGAAAATAATAATTTTATTTTAATTTAATTAAAAAGAGCCAACTACTTCAAAATATTCATAAAATTTAGAAAATCAAACATTACACATTAGTTTAAGATTGCTAAGAACATTAATTCAAATATGGATTTAAGAGATTAACATATCACACCAGCTTGTAAAATTAGTGCTATTACACAATACGTTCACATTATAGCATAGATCCTTATTTATAATATCTAAGTGTATTGCATATGCATTTTGACAGCATTTTTCGAGTGTATGTTTTTCAAGCTTGCCAGTACATTCAGTATCGCATTGGCTTTTAAGAGGAATTACATGTGTAAAAATCATACTTAGATGCACAGCAATAATACAATAGCAATAATACATGAGATTTATTTTGCTTACTGAAGAATGACCATAACTTGAAAAAAAAAAAAATCTGTGCTAAACCTGGAAATAGATCTATATATGAACCAATTGATTCCTACACATATCTAACAAAAGATACTAGAGAACTGATTAATCAAATTGCATATCAGTTTGTGTGACCTATTATGAGGGCTCTTCATGCTTCAGGAAAATAACCTCAGTCTGTTGCACTGCATATAGTATCATATCACTAGGCATGCCTTAGATTTGATTTAAATAACTTATGGTTTCTCTTGTGCATGCACTTAAAAATCAAAGCTACTGCAAAGCATCCAAAACTTTATCTTGTTGCAAGGTGGCACATCTATGAAAAGGAAAGAGAAGTTATGAGGCTTCATACAACATGGCATAATCAGGGAGATTAGTTGAGTTGGTCAGGTAATTTCGGGAGCATCCAGTTAGGATGGTATCTTGCTATTCTTCTATATTATATTACAGGGCAGTATATCACATAGCTAACACTGACAGGAACAGCTCGAACATTTTCTAGGTATGATACTTACTAGTACAGAAATATTGGAGATGCATGTAGGCTAGCCATCGGTGGCAGACCTACCAGTTATTAATTTCAAGAGTCCTTAGTATTATTCATTAAAATACAGTATTAATACTGTTAAAGAAATAATACAGTAACTATGTCAGCCAATTTTCAAATATATACATATATATATATATATATAAAGTTTCAGCATTTCATATTTCAGTTAAGCCTTGGAGGTGTACACCTTTGTCTTAATTTGGCCCATATTTCTCTTAAGAGAATAACAGAATTTATTGACATCAACAGCGTTCTGTTTCCACAATCAGATATCTGAGGGCGCATTCACTGTTTATGAGTTCCTCTGAGACTGTTTTGTCCTATTGTTTAACACCGCACTGAAATCCAGGCTATCCTATTTGAGAATTTTGTACAACCACTGCAAACAAATAAATACCTAACACAAAATTTGTTTCTTCAGTATCATTACTGAACGTACAAAGAAGACAAAGCCTGTTTCAATACAACATTATACAATACAATGAATTTCCTTCAAAAATCACAAAATGCTTTAGATATGAAAAGATGTTACAATTTCTTAGACAGCTTTACCAAGACCTTTAGTATCCCTATGCAGAAAGAAAAAGGAAAAACAAGCTCTGTATACACACTTTTTGATATACAATAGGCTTCAACAAGTACTAATAGATTTTTGACGACTGGAAGGATATTTGTAGGCTAATTCCACCTTTTCATTTTATATCTTCTAATGTTTAAACATGCTATCTATATTTCCAGATTTCTACATTTGGATTTAAAAGTGAGATACTAAAAGCATCTTTAGTTTGTACAAATCAATCAAGAGGCATGGATTTATCAGGGAGAAGGGTGCCCCAGACATCCTTCTCTTTTCCATTAGTTCAAACCATTGTAGTGCACAATCTTGCAATACAGTCATCTCTACAAAGCTGTTGTAAGCCCCTGCCATGCTAAGGAGCTGTGCCTCCCCTGAAAAAGGTGATAAATATTCACATTTTGAAAATAATATTTGCTTGATGGATAGTAAAACATAATACAATAAATAGACAATATAATGATATTTGGTAAATTTTACTTTCAAAACAAGAAAGCCTGGATATTAAAGGTGGAAAACAGTAAAATCTGCCATCTGACAACCACAGAACATTCTTTTCTAACAAATGATTCAGTGTGCTTTTTGTGTTGTTGCAAACCAACAGATTACTTTATCGGAACCTGGAAAAATTAGAGTAATTTCCAAACTGTAACAGAAGACCTAAGTTCCAGATGTTCAACAGTTGCTACCAGGCAATAATGAATATTTAAGTATTGGAAAATGTTCCAAGTCATCATAACCTTTGGAACTGAACCAATTTGCATTAATTCTTAATGCTCATTAACAGCTCATCTTAGCTTGTCAGATTGCAGCTGGCTTGACAGGCTGATCAAAACTATTATTCTGGAAAAATAAAGGATGGAAAATGGGTGCCCAAACATGAAAAGACTTAACAAAAACCTAGATGAAAATCCAAAGATCATTTTCAGGAAGGGGTAAAGAAGGAACTCTTGGTAAAGAAGACTACCCCGCCCTTCAAACGTAAAATTCAAGGCACAAAGTGCTGATTAATGAACACAAAGATACCTACCTTCACGACCAATAACAGATCTTGAGGTTGTCTGAAAGCTAATAATTCCTGCCACATTATCATTTGCCAGAATAATCACTGTGACAGTGTCAAAATCAGGCAGAATCCGACTCCCTCCTTCAGTGTGAACCAGGCTGATTATGATACTTTCATTATCCTCTGGCTCTGGATCATCCAAAATGGTCAATGTGACCATTTTCTTTGTTTCCCCTGTGAGGACAAGAACGTATTCATATACAGGCCCATATAAACCATTTTAAATAAGACAAATCATATCATTTTATAGCAATTAAAAATACATATATAAGGAGTACAGATAGAGCATATCTATTTACTTATCTTTCTGGAACTTACTGACTGTCATTATGAAGTTGTATCCAATTACTATGGTCAATTATGGTCAATATGATGATTATTAAATGCACTGTGTATAGAATGATTGGGTAGGAATTATTTCTGAAATCTTCCTTTGCATTATGCATTCCCTGACTTTACAAATGAACTTTAAAAACTTACGTACTTAAATTACATGTCTTGTAGTGAAAGTTACCAAGTACGTAAGCATTCTGATGCACTATGCCATCTATTTGTGTATACTTACTGGGCCAGGGAAAGCATGAAAAAGGGTTATCATGTTAGCCATTTGCCGTCTGCATTGTCAAAGAACAATAATTTAAATAGGAGACACTATGAATTGCCTGTATGTATAGAATTCATCCAACTTTGCAGTCCTATTGCTCAGCAGATGGGCATAACCAAGCTGTGTTTTATGGTTTTGATGTAAATGATTTTTTTATAATGAACCTTGCCTCACCTTCATCAAACACCAGAATCTCACCAACACCTACAAAATCCAGGTCTGGGATAGCAGTTCCACCAATGACATGCCATTCCACTGTCACTTGTCCCAGGCTGCCTTCTGTTCTGTATATCATCAGCTGCACCTTTGTCTCGTTGGGACTTATGCTGTAGAGCTTAAATACTCCAAAGGCATCTCCATTCATCATTATGATAACCGTGGAAGTATTTGGCTGTCCTATAGTTGGCTGATTTTTTAAGCTGGCTGAGATGTTCATTAGTTCAACTTTCAAAAGGGATACAGTGAATTTCTCATCCAACTCTGGCAGACTGTCAGGGAGTATAGTAACTGTGAGATTTGCAAACTCTTCCCCTTCTAGCATTATGGCCCTCTGACTTTTAACAGGTTCATAGTCACTACCAGCAACGGCTTGTGTGCTGAAGAGAGTGGATGCACTGGTGGCATTTTTCTTGTAGTTCCAAAATTCTGAAATATGAGTTAGTGGGCTGATCTCTGATGCCAGCCAAAAGCAGAACGGAATCCCAGAAGCACTGGAAAATGCAAAGGCTGAACACACTTGTTCTTTTAGGCACCGAGTTGCACAGGCATACAGAGGGTCATCTGCAGCTGACACATTCACTCTAATCTTGGATGGCTGCTCAGGAATTCCTTGTACAGGAGCCTCATAAAAGGCCAGGATATCTTGACCTTGCTCAATGGCAAGAGCTATAACATCAGTGTCAGAAGTGCTGTAGAAAATCCAAAGCTCACCAAAACTTCCCCCACTAAAAGACATAATAAAGGCAAAAGTTATGCTAGCCAATGAAGGATAGCCAATATTCTGTATAATGCTGGTTAAGAATAATGGAACAAAAACTACTGACCCTCTTGGATTTGTTGAAAAAATCCAAATAATGCATTAAAATGCAATCCCTTTGAAGTTAGTACCAGAATAATTAAGGTATCACTTTGTGTGGACAAGTTTGATTTACAGCCCAAGCAGTAGTCTGTTAAGAATGCAAATTTGATTTTTTTTTCCCCCTAGGGATTAGATTGTTGCTCTTAGCACTTGCCAGCTCTTCTAGTTGTCATGGAAGAAAAAAGCCAGTGATGCTCAGCTTTGTCATCTTCCTTCCTATGTGTCCTCAGAAGGGAACATACCACCACCACCATGTATAAACCTTGTTTTCTTGCTTCTTTCTGCCATACACAGTTTGATTCATTTTGTCCTTCAGCTCAAATCATAGAAATAAGCTATTGTGTGACTTTATCTCATCTGATGATTAAACAAGATCATACATGCAGGGATTTTATGTACATTTCTAATAAGCGGTTATTTAGTCCCCACCCCCCCCCCAAAAAAAAGATGTTTTGAATAGGCAGACCAAGAAATCAATGCAAAGACTTTAAAATGAGAAGCACATGAAGTTGAAATTATATTCAAAATTTTAAAAAGAACAATAATTATATGCAAAGCCAACACTATACAGACCTTCGCCTGACTGTTATGTTTGCGAGCAAACTTCTTTCTAGCGGCTCTTGAATTCGATACAAGGAGCGATCAAAGAAAACGGTGCCATAAGGATTATCATTGGCAGGTATTACAATATTTGCCACTCCATCTAATCCAATAGCACCACCATTGGAGGCCTGAGTTAACTCTATGTGGACAACCTCAAAAGGAAAAAAGAAATACAGTAGAATAATTTGTGGCACTTCTAAGATTAATCACAAGCAATATATAATCTAGATTTCTGGCTCATTCCCCCAGACTTTTTCATCCATTTCTCTAACATGTCAAAACTCTAAAATTATTCAAGGAAGATGAAACTGTTCGACTTACTTCATCTATTTCTGGAACATCATCAGGCAGGATCTCCAACAGAAGCATCTGAATGGTTTCCCCAGGGGCAAAAGTAATATTACCTGAGACAACCTGCAAGTCAGCATCAGCAGGCTGTCCATTAATGGTAGCAACCCACTGAACAGTAACATTACCAAGTGTCCCAGCATTGCGGATTATTGGCAGATTTATGGCTACTGATCCTAACTCAGGCTCCTCCACAATGAATTCAGTGATCTGAAAAACTAGGAATAGCACAGAGAAAATTGCTTCATTAAAAGTAGCACTGAAGGTAAAAATACTATCCTAGTTATATTTTTAAATCAAATATTTTGGAGGAGGTGAGGTAATCCACCTACCTCAATAAGGAGACCCCCAATCCATTTTTTTCTTTAATAGGGCTGAATTTTTGACACGTCAATTGACGGAATATTTTTTCAGTTTGGTTATACTAAAATATTACTATTTCTTAATTAAATATTTTAATTTAGTTTATCGTATCTTGTTTTACACTGCATTCATCCTGGCTTTCTCTATGTTTTTTGTGAGTTTTTGTTCAGTTGCCCAGTAACAACTCACCCAGAATTCTGCAATAAAATTCTTAACAGAAGAATGAAAATATAGAAATAGTCCTCATTTACCAAAAGATCCAAAGGGGTCGTCAGAAGCCTCAATAGTTATGACTGCCCTAGTTAAGGATCCAAGCAAGGCTCCTCCTGTTGTTTGATTCAGCAGCTGAATGTAAAAGGACTCCTCAACTTCAGGATTGATATCGTTAATTATATAAATTGGCACAGCTTTACTTGTTTCCCCTTCTAGTAAGACAACATCTGATGAAGCTATACTATAATCCTCACCTAGATTTGTGGATGAAAAAAAAAAAAAGCATAAAAATATATTAATGTATCATGGTTCATCGTATTAAATATACCAATTATGTTTATCTTTTCTTTTTGCATTCACATTCATTCCCCCATGTTTAAATGGGCAGTTCTTTATCTTGAGACCTAGACAATATATATATTTTTTATTTCCCTTTGCCTTGTAGAGATCTGGATAGATTAAAGTAAAAATCAACTTAGCCAAAACAGAGTTTATATCGTCAGAGAAAGAAGCAAGTACATCATCCCCTTCTGCTAGGAAAGACGTACTTAGGCTAATGAAATACTTATGCCTTTATTTTCCAATTGTTCTATGACTTTTCAAGATGTGAAAGCCAACAGAAACACTTCTATACAACTAGTTATTACTAAAAAGGAATAATTTATCTTCAGCAGGGACCCCCCTTTAGGCAAACGTCTCTAAAAATGGATAGGTGAAGTGCTATGATACACTAAATGGGGAATCAGCTTCAGAAACTAACTCGAAACACACACTGACATCTGTGTGACACCTGCACACTCATTTAGAATATAAGTTATATAAAAATAATGCTGAATATCTATTCTTAGAGCCTGCACTACCCTCCGATTCAATTATGGGCACAGTGGGTTGGATTCATAATTATCTAAACGGTTATGACCCTGCACACTTTGTAAGGGTCATCCTTTCTTCATGTAGCTTTCCTGTAGCAGGGATCAACTGCAGAATTTCTATTTTATTTTATTTTTGAAGAACAGCTAAATCCCCACTCCTCCACTTCTTCCTTCAATGAACTCACCTAATCATGCATAGCATGATTAAATGCATACTAAAGGACTAACAGTACCTGGATATACCACATACCTCCTTTTTTTTTTTTTTTCTTTATTTTTTTTTAACAGGAGTGAAACAAGCTGCTCACTTGCTTGACTGGTTTTTCTTGATGGACTGATTGTTGATGGACCATTAACAATGACCAGTCGTAGAACTTTCCAAAAAGCTCATATGCTGTCTTTCACAGGACCTAGATTTCTAGTTGCTAAACACAGGACCTAGATTTCTAGTTGCTAAACACAGTCTACTGTGGTAGACTGTAAGTAGGCTGGTAGACTGGGTAACATGTTGGTTTTCAGTAGAGTATATTCAGTATGTATTTTTTATCTTGCATTCAAAGCATGATTTTTCAGCATCAACATTAGATATGTATTTCTGCTATTCTGCTTTCTTACCAGGTGTTGCGGTTATTGGCATAGCTTTAAACTTCACAGAAACATCTGCAAAAATTCCCCCAATTCTGGTCACATTAATGATTGGTCCAACATAATTTTCAGCAACTCGCACAGCTGCAGCTGAAAGCTGAAGTGTTCCGAAAGCGTCATCATTGGCAGTGATAATTATTTGAGCTATTATCTCACCCACTGATCCAAGTCGAGGAGAATTTAAAACTGAAATGTAACAAAAAATGAGTTGGGGAGCAGCCAAGATACTTGTTGCCTGTGGCTATAGATTTCACAGATATATAGGAGAACTGAGTGGCTAGTTACTCTTTGCTTTCAATAAAATTATCTTTTTAGAATTGGACAAAGCATGTTTGAAACTGCACCAAAACACTTTTGGTGTTTGAACTGTACTGTGGCAGAAAATGCTATTTTTTAGTAACTCGGTATTATTCTTTTGGAGTCTATCATCACTCTCATGTAGAATACAGGAAGAACTGGTTATTTGAAGTTGATTGATTTACTTGTTTGTGCACAGGGCAAACCAATGTAGTGTGTTGTAAGATCACTCCAAGTAAAATCAAATTTAATTTTTACACTTACTGTAATGAAATATAAGCTACACGGCAATCTCTCCTTGCAACTGTCCTTAACACGACTAAATTAGTTAAGCAATTAGACAAGTCAAGAAAGACTACAGCATCAGGCTGCAACCATCCAAATGTATTTGAATGAGAAATTAGCAAGCATTGTCTAGATGTAAAAAGCAACATGCAAAGAGTACAATACCGTACCAGTTTGTTTTAAATTTTTTTTGGCTTTCAGAAAGCAATATTATCTAGGTCCATTATTTTCTAACATTATGTTTAATAGAAACAACATCAGGTGAGCATTATACAAACATGTGCATTAATGCACAAAAGCATTACAGCAACCTACAGGTTCAGAAAGGCCTTGCTTAGAAGCATATAAAATGACTAAAGCCATGCTCATCAACCCCAGACAAATTACTGTAGCAAGGGAAATATATGCTGACAGTAGACAAGAAAGTTAACTTGGGGAAGTCTAAACTAAACAGTTTGGCACTGTAAATTTTTATTATAATTTACGTGACTGCATTTTTCCTATCAAAGATGGATGCTCACCTACCTACTCTAGAGAGACTGTCAAATACTTACTTGGCCGATCCTGCACTTTCTCAATCAAAGCAATACTGCTTAGCTCCACAAAAACAGATTCTGACCTCTCAGGGTCATTATCATCCAGAATAGGAAGAGTTATTGTGGTCTCACTTTTATTGGCTTCGAAGATCACAAAACCAGAAATAGGTAAATAATCTTTTCCCTCCGTTGCTCTAGCTATGTCAGATGGAAGAAAAGGTGACTGTTCATCATCACCAATAGATCTGTATGTTACCATTACTGTTCCAAGAAGACCTCCACGCCTTACTATTGTCAGGGAGATATTTTTGGCTTCTTCTTCAACTTTAATTGGTCTGTTTTTCTCAGAAAATATGAAAAGCCCATATGGATCATCATTAGCTAAAATAGTTAACGTTGCATTAGTATGAATTCCAAGACGACCACTGGAGACATTGACGATCAAAACTGAAAACATTTCATCCAGTTCAGGAACTTCATCAGGTGAAACTTGCACCGTTATATTTGCTCTTGCTTGGCCAACACCAAATGTTACATTCCCATAATTAGATATCAGGTCTTCTGTAAGATCACAGGCTATAATCCAAAGCAGTGTCACCTGAGATAAGGCTCCATGAGATCTCACAACCTAGGTGCAAAATAAAAAGATTTACATACTCTTGTAGAAAATAATATAAATGAAATCCATTGACATTATGTGTTAACTATAAAGCCATCTTAAAAGAAGCATAACTTTCCAACTCAGGTTTGTTGTATCTTTTTGGTGTATAATCAGCATTTCTATTAAAAAAAAAAAACCTCAAATATAAGCAGGTACAATTTGAAATCTGTAGATACAACTGAGATCAGAGATTATTATATCATTTAGGTGCAAGTTGAATGACATATATGAAAAATGAATTTATTAAAATAGATGTGTGTTTTAAAACATTCTAAGTCCTGTGGATTTATAATAAACCTGTTACAAAAACCCCATTGAAAACAGGGACAGACAAGGATTGTATAACAGTGTAAGACTCAAAACTTTCTAACCTGCAGCACAATAACGTTATCTCCATCTTCCGGCTCACTTCCATTTACAGAGAGTGACTCTGTACTGAATTCAAACACACCATGAGCATCATCAGAAGCCTCAATAGTCACAATGATGTGGGATGCGATTCCCAAGCTAGCTGTAAGTTCCAGGAAAAGATTATTTTTTTCTATCATCTACAAGTAATTAATGGTCTTTTACAACAAAACTACAGAGAAGACCACGACTTGAATGTTCTGTGCTGTTTCGCTTTTGTGTTCCTTAAATGCAGGATGGCTATCCACATAGATAAGAAATGGATTTCAGTAACGTCGCGTAGAACCCTTTCTGATAGAACAATGAGCCAAAGAAAAAAATAAATAAATATGAGTAGCTTAATAGAGAAATGGAAAAAAAAGTATAAAAGATTTAACAAATGAAAATGCAGCAAAGTCAGGTCGATGGGGTGTTATATGACAAAATACAGCATAAGAAGGACAGACTAAATGAAAGCAGGTCTCATAATAACAGGAACTGGAATAAAAACAAATTAAAAGAACTCCATTACAGTCTACCACTAATCTGGCTACCACTAACTCGGTGCTGAGAGAGAAACTGCCTGACATTGAAGAAGATAATTTCTGAAAACAAGGAAAAAGGAAATACCACACCAGGAAGAAAAACAAAACAAAACAAAAACAGTCCAGAAAGTCCAAGAGTCTGATGAATTCCTTTATTTTTATAGATGAAATTTAGAATGAAATAAATTTTATTGGGGTGCTAATGCAAAATTTTCAGGTCTGGTGGATTTGACAGGTTTGGACTATCCATTTTAAAAATATCTAGATTAAATCATCTTTATTTTATGCAAAAGTTGAAAATATTTCAGGAAAAAACACAATGTAAAGAAATCAATCACAATTTTTCTTTAAAATTTAAACAGATTCACTTCTCTCTATGAATGTTTCTGCCACACAGAAAACCTAAGTAATATAAAGCATGTTTTAAAGCATACAGTAAGGTAGGTTAGGCTTTTGATTACCCTAAATTTTAAAACGTCTTTGCTTTTTGCACTTCAGAAATTTGTCTATTTTGAGGCAAAACTAAGTTTTCCTTTCAACTCTAATATAGTTTTGACAGCACAGAAGATGCTGTTCTCTGTTACAGTTAACATATTGTTATTGAAACCCTGTCTAAATAAAAATAATGTTTTGAGAAAGTTAATTGAATCCTGTGTAACACTACATAAGTAAAGTAACACTATGACAAGCTGTGTGATTATAGTAATTTATATGAAATAAGAATTAAGAATAATTCAAAATGCTTACCATGTTGATGGACAGTTGGAAGGAAGAAATCCATGCTTCCATCACCACTTCCACTATCATCATTTCTAAAGAGCTCAGCGACTTTAAGATGACAGACAGATACATATATATATATATATATATACACACACACACACACACATATATACATTTATAAACAGAGAAAGCAGAAAGTAATTTCAACATTTCTGATACAACAGGGGAAAAAATAGAAGGAAACCTTCTAAGGAGGAATTTCTTTTGGTTATGAAATTGTATAAGATTTCTAGCAAAAGTGAGAAAAGGCATTACGTATTTCATCTTTTACTTAATGTATCATGTTGAAAATAGCAATGAAAGGTCAAGAAAGAAAGACAGCAAGTACAAGACTTTTTTCTTATTCTTTTCTTTCCCTCTTTGTGTTTGTTCTTTCTTATTCCTATTTCAAGTTGTATTATAGAGTATGTATTATGTATAGTTGTATTATGGAGAACTGGAAACTTATTTTAAAAAATGAGAAAAAAACCTAAGCTCTTATTCCAGTATCTCCCTCAATGTGAAAACATTATAAGAAAATCTATAGGAGACTTGACTAATGGACTCATGTAAATGGACTATTTTGTGCTTGCAGTGATGGTGGAAGAGATGTTTTATTTAACTGTGAAAAAAGATTGTCTTTATATGACCTAACACATGGTAGGAATCCAGCTTCTTTGGGGTCTGATTGTTTCTGTCAATGATTGAGATCAACTGAAGAGCACTTCTTTCCCAAGAAAGAAATACAGCTTTTCAAGGAGTGGGAGCTGGAGATGTTGTTTGGTCATTTTCAGAAATAACATTGAAAATAATCCCTCTTAGCATACCTAAAAAAACTTCAGATGTTTGTGCATGAATACTGGTCATGAATATGCAGGAAAGGAATTTAGATGCGTCTTACCTCCTCCTTCTGGGTACAACAGCTCCACTTTAAAATCTTTTTCTAATTCAGGCACAGAATTATCAGTGACGTTAACAGTAATGTACTTGTATCTTTCTCCTGGTTGAAATTCCAAGGTGCCCGCAGTAGCCTGTAATATGAAAGTTCTTTACAGTTTGTGAAGTCCCATCTTTTCATCCATATGAAAAAAAGAAAGAACTTTCATGTTTTTTTTAATATATTGACTTTTTTAAGTTTTCCAAAAACCTGCTCAATCTTTGCTGTCAAATATATCCAAACTCACAGAATGGTGAGCATTTGCATATATTTACATTTTTCCAGCCAAATCTAAGTAAAGTAAGCAAAAATACAGACAGGTTAAGCATGCAAATCCAGGTATGTTTAAAGGTGCATCGTGGTACATGCACATTAATGGGCATACAAAGTTTGAACTGTTCTGCAATAATGGCAGACATCCCTTTTTTACTACATCAACAATTCTCTTTGGAAAACAAACAAATGAAAACTAGAAGGTTTTCATACTAATTGCAATGCTTTGTACACAGAAAAGATGTAAAAGTGACATAATTATTTACCTCTTTAAAGTGAACATTAAGGATTCAATTACCACATTACGGTTCTGTGAAGGAACCAATGGGGAAAAACTACTCAACATGAAGACTATCCCTGGAATAAATGAATCTAAATAGCATCCAAACTACACCACGTGGACAATGGCCATACCTGGTAATCTTGCGGACTGAAAGCTGTAAGCGGAACTGTCCTGTATTCCACCACAACCGTCCCCAGAAGGCCCTGCGCACGAACCACCAGTAACCTGACGTGCCCAACCTCCTCTTTAATGGTAATATGTGGCACAGAAGACGCGGGGGGAATCATTTTATCACCTGACTGAGGAGGCAGCCCCCCAGAGAACTGCAGCAAACCTGGCAGATGAGAAGTATTATTTGCATAGCTACTTGCATCAAGTTTAAATGATTTATAAGCAAATCCATAATTTATCATATTTATATTTTATGGTGGTTCTGAAATTATCAATTATGGATATGCCCTTAGGCCTCAAGCATGCTATTTCCAGGGATATACTGTGCACCATACCCCTTCCTACTGGTATCAACAAACAGTATATTTTAAATGAGCTTTGATAAGCCACAGTGCGATAACAAATTCAGGTCTTCCCCAAGGAGCCTCAGGATGTCACAGTATTGGATACTTATTCATATAACAAGCATGCAGAAATGGTCTCATCTGATAGAGACCTGTGCAGGATCTGCTACGCACAATCTTTATTTGCTCCCATGAGGGAATCATCATCTGCTTCATTAGGGCAGTTTTGAGGCCTTTTTTGGTAAAATTCTCAAGAAAAGACAACTCAGCATTCATTCTTATACACAAATAAGGAATGAACCTTAAGTTAAATAAGTGGCATGTTTAGCATTGCCTTTTCAAAAATCAAAGCTGAACAAAATTTTTATCTGTTAGGCTAAAACTATACAATTATCTGAAACAATGTTGTATCATTTTCATCATTGTTACCGTATGGGTGGTCACTGGCTTTTATACTAATATCAGTAGTTTCCTTTTCTGGATCTATGCTTGCTCCACTGTTAGGAGTTGAACCTAGTTTTCCATCTCCAGAAACTGCAGAAACTAGAGTCACCCGGAAATACTCATTTAGCTCTGGAATGTCATCATCAATCACATGCAAATTTAACACCTGAAATAGGACAAAGTTGTGCTGAGATGAAAGCATGCAACATACATCATCAGATTTCATGACCCTATCCAACTCATTGAATTCTTTGATTAGTCGGTCAATTGTATTTGCTGGGTGGCTCCAAGTAGTGCATATAGGGGTTTTTTTTGATTTGCAGGTAAATTAACTTACCTTCTAGGATAATATCTTACATTTATAACATCTGTTTAAAAAAAGAAAAAAGCTTGCAGCTATCAGAAATGATGGTATATTTTCTCAAATGCTTCAAATTCCATAAATTCCAAGCATATGTATGTGTACATATAAGTATACGTACGTGTTTTTGTATAAACATGCAATTATTTATTTTCATACTTAAATAAGCACAGTTTCATGTGTGTTGAAAATGAAAATTTGATAGATTTCAACATCGTTAAGAAACTGTGCCCCTGGAGAGACATTATAGCAATTCTTCTAATTTAGAGAGCAAATAAATTAAACTTGTTTCTATCACTGATGCTTAAAATTTCAGATCATCCCTGTTTAATATAAAACTACCTCTTGTACAGAGTAATGTCATAACCTCAGATAACTCTATCTTTCTATATATTCCTTTATGTTGTGACATGGTCAGAGAAACACACACAACAAAAAGCTTAAATAACTAATCATATTCAGAAGCATGAGAATGAGTAGATTACAAACGTCAGTTTGGCTTCAGTGAATTTGTCTACTGCCCTCACAGTAATATATATATTTATTTATATTTAGTTTTATATATATGTACACACACATATATAAATGAAATAGAGGATAGCATTTTCTTCTAGCAATTCATCCTAATTATTACATGAACAATATTAGAAAACCTAAAGGTACTTTCTACAATACTGTGGTGCTACCATACCACTTCTTGAAATGAATGTAAAACTCCTGTGCTACACCAGTGTGGGAATTCACAGAAACAGATCAAGCAAAAAGAAATAAAACATGGGTGACAGAAAGTGCATAACACTTCATTTCAGCAGTGCATATCTATTTAACTGATGTGAAGATGAGCTTTAGTTAAGAATATCAGACAAAACTCCATCACTTTCCAATCTCAAAAGTGATTAAAAACATTATTTCAGCCCAGGACTGCCTATACTGTATAGAGTGTGTGTGTGTGCGCATTTGCGTGTGTGTGTGCACGCATGTATTTTACGTGCATATGTAGAAAATATTTTATTATTTATTATTTTCTACATATCCACATATGATATGTGTACGCATGTCTAACATGCATTCAGACACACACAGTATAGAGGGATACAAGCATCTATCATGTCACTAGCTAGTTGTCAGGAGCGCCAAGAAGTCCTGCAAGATATAACCAGACCCAGGTGAAGTAAACAACTCCCTGCTATGAGCAGGAGTTAAGCATCCTCAGAAGGTATTTTCCAACAGCACTTTTTGCAAAGGACTAACTGACTAATTAATAGGAAGGTAGGGTTTACCTCTGATCTCTGCCAAGGAAGGAATGTGATAGTGCCGCTGCTGTTAGAAAAATCGGTAATAGAGTAATTAATGTCAGTGGAATCAACCTGAGAGATAATGTAATTTATATACACAGAGTCTAGGGCTCCCCTTGTGCGCTCCACAACACAGGATATAGTGGAACCTTCTTCAGCAGTCTGGAAGAAAGCAAGAAATTTGATAGTAATAAATATTTCAAGTAAATGAATACAAATGCAAAATATGAAATTCTCTAATATCACGTGTTTGGATGAAATATTGTTGTCATGCTACTTTCAGCACTTTCAGAGTGGTAGAACAATGAAACTGTCCTTGATGGTAGTGGTTGGAAACAGTCTTTATGGAATTTTTTACAGCTTCTGGTCTCTCCCTAAACACTATTAAAACAACAAATAATATTACACTGCAGCTTCTGGCTGAATTATCTTCTCCCCCACAGGTTAAAAGCACATTAGAAGCAGAATCAATATGCTTGCAAAGGACATGCCAAAAGCAACTAAAATTATGCCTTGTGTTAACGGCAATTATTCTCATCTTCCTTATTGATAATTTAGAGGGAGAAGTGAATTCCTCCTTGCCTTAACTAGAAACACTGTGGAGAAAATTAGATGCATTAAAATGAAACTATCATCATTCAGGAATAACTGTGAAGATTTCTGTGCTACAGTCCTCTCTACAATTCTCTGTCTTTGTAGAGAACACACTTCGTGTAGCAACAATTCCACTAGTTTTGAAGAATGCAGATACTGGCACTGACCAAATATTTTAGAGTATAGATTTTTTTTTTGCTGAAAAACAATTTCCAAAAGGGTTAAAGCTACCTGCCTACCTTAGATATATTTCTGTATAACACACTGTAGATACTACATTGTAGTGTACACTATATAACTTTACTTCCCTAGTAGTCAGGTATGCACATCAACAGCTTAAAATTCTGGTGAAAGAATGCTGTGAATCTGCCACACTATTAAGAGCTCTAATACTCCCCTGGTGAAATGGATATAAAGTAAGAGCAAAAAAAACAACATGCCCTATTCATTTTTAATGTGTTGCATGGCTGGTCAATGATCTGTGGCATCACAGTGTATCAGCGGCACATGAACCTGAAGGAACCTATTACCATAACATATGGTAGGCAGTTAAAAAGCAAACAGAACCAAATTGAAAGCTAATATCACTCAGGCAATATGGTAATTTTCAAATACAACCTAAGTACTCTGATTAGAAAGAATATGATTAAAAGATCATTAGAGTCCCCAAAGTGAAAAGTATTTTTGATCTTATTTTCCAAAATAATCAAATTCCAGTAGAAACAAATAGCATGTTCTTCATAAAAAAAAGCTAATTATATTTTTTCAGCCCCCTCAGAAGGGCATGAAGTTATGATACTGCATATAGAACAGCCACCATTAAAAAAGTTATCTACAAAAAAACAGCTAATCTTGACCAAATCTGCATCTAACACAGACAATTTAACCTGAGAAAAAATACATCACAAGTTGTCAGTGCATTACCTTCTGTGAAATTTTCATTCATAATATTTTATGCAGAAAATTAAAATAAAAATATTTTAAACAATCCACTGTCCAAAAATGAGAATAAAATTTTATATATTTAATATATATATGCATAATTAATATATATTTTAATACAAAAGTAACTTAAAGAAACTTCTTTTAAAATGGTCAAGTACCTGTCAGTATGTTTGAGACAGTCTTAACAGTTAATTACTTGTTTCCAAATGTTAGGAAAAGTAGCAATGTGAAATCAAAGCCTTGTGTCCATAACTTCATTGACAGCTTTCCTTATGCTTATCTTACCTCAGGGATACATGTTCCAGTGAAACCAAAGAGACCATTAGCATTATCACTTTTCTGTATTCTTAATCTTGCTGTGGTATTTTCTTCTGGAATTCGAGCTCCACCGCGCACAGAAATAAGCTTGAGTATGAATAATTCTTCTCCTTCTTCCTCTTTGTCATCTCTTGCAGACACAATGAATGATTTATTGGTCTCTCCTTGTCGATACTCCAAATAGCCAGAGACTGGGTGCACATCTCTTTTTGCAGGAGTTGCATGAAGTTCATAGATCTCTGCGTGTGTCAACTTACGCTCATAAAGCCTTACATCCTGCATTATCCCTGTATATCTACTGCTCCCATTGATTCCTGCTCCAACTCTCAGTATTCCTGGACCTGAGCAGGAAATTACAATATTCTTTGTGTTAATGCATTTCCTTAAAATAATCAAAGTTTAAAACTGAGTAGCTATAGTTTAAATTATTAGGAAACACAAGGATCTTGAAACACAAAACCTGGCACTTCACTCACCCTTGTCTTCTAGTGTTACAGATAGATCATAAGCTAAAAACTACATCTTAAAATGTTTAGTTCTTTCACCCTGTTACTTCCATAAGCACATTGTCACCATTCCTCATTTTTCTGAGATTCAGAAACCTTCCTGTGGAAGGGAAGGAAGACAGGAAGTGAAAGAGAGGGAAACTGAAAAAGAAAGTAAATTTAAGCATATTTCAACCATGTATTATTTGACTTCTTTCTAAGGAAATTGTTATGGTAATTCTCTGATCAATGCTATGCTAGTTAAGAAAGAATGACTAGAATGGTTATCTCTAACTAAAACCTATTAAGTTTTACAAAACTGCATATAGCCATTTAGAGAAACTCAAGTACACATGCTAACATTTCTTGGAACAAAAGTAAACCTTTAGACATAATTTTAATATAGGATATATGTATACACACACACACAATAAAGCTACATTTTGAAAAAGCTCTATTCGTTATGAGATACTGGCTTGTGTCACATAGCTATTGTCACATTTTATTCTCAAATTGTTCAAGAGTTGTTGAACAATTTTGTAGTTCAAGCTCTGTTATAGTTTTGACTTTTTGGGTGGGAACTTTCACAGCTATATTTGCCATATGCTTTTTGTAAATCCTCAAAGATATTTTAGACTATTCTCTTCAATTAACTCATAGGAATAGTTCCTTTTCAATCCAGTGCACTTACCGTTTAAAAGGCTAGACTGTCCTGTGCATTTCAGAACTTTACATATAGAGATAAATGATGAAGACTCACCATCAGCAATTGCTTCTCCTTTAAGACTCTTCAATCCTCCCATAACTGGTTTTCCATCAACGTAAAATTCAATTATACTTTCATCCAGAGTAATCAGAAGGTGAAGCCAAGTATTTTCATCCAGGTATTTCATAATCACTGTTTTAGCCATGTATGTCATATTGGATCCTAATGCTGTATAATGAAGCATTACGGAAACATGGGATTCATTTGTTTGGATTTTCACACCATAATACAACAGTCCACTATCATTATCCTTTTCAACTATATAACCATCAGTATTGGAATTAGGAATTAACCAAGCGGAAAATGTAAAGTTGGCTATTGCATTATTTCCACTGTACGGGTATTCAGGACCAATAATTCCAAATGCATCCTCTTCTCCACTGAAATACAAAGCATCTGTTCCACTGTGATGGCGCCTCAAATGGGGCTGGGATTGCACTGAACTTGGAAATGATCCAAGCAACAAAATATCTACCACTGGTGGCAGTCCAGCTTGGAACGCGCTTGAGAGTATTTCCCAACCTAACCGGACAACTCCAAAGGTGCCTTGTTGTCTCCAGATGGTGAAGTTTGTAATATAGGAAAGATCATCTTCAGAAAGAACATCTTCTGCTATCTCTCTGTCCTGGCTCTCTGGATCTATAACAAACACTCCAAAAGGGTCATCATTGAATGGGATCATCACAGATACAGTAAGGCTGGTTTCAGATAGGCGACCACCAGGACCAGGGGACCCACCTATATAATGAAAATCAGAGACAAAGTTAACACATATTTTAAATAACACAGTCTGTGGAAAGTTACTAAGCACTTCAGACTTCTTAATAAAATATGTTTCTAAGGAGGCTCAAAATCTTCTCTTAAGATCTTTCGAACTATTAGAAAACAGAGAGTTAAAACAACATAATTTAGGTCGTGTTTAAAACCCTATAATGGTACAATTTTAAAAGAAAACAAAAGACACCTTGCACATCAGCTACAAACATACAGTTGACTTTCAGCCAAGACAAGATTGTCTCCAATTTCTCTGAATTAGCCAATGAGATACGTTTATCAAAAGAAACAACCAACAACAACAACAAAGACCTATATTACGGTAGGCATAAGCAACCTTTAGTATCTTTACTTTCCTTTCCTCTAGAAGACCACCTGCATTTTCAAAACCACCAAAAGGCATCCTTTGCAAAGATCAAACTAGCAAAGCTTATTCAAGAACAGTTATCTGGGAACTGAGTAACTGTTTTTATTTATCTAAATTAAGATTGAAAGAACACAAAAGTACAGGATATCAAGACATAATTCAAGGAAAAGCCATTTTCAGGATTGATTTCTTTTTATCAAATATAATTATTTTCTGTCATCTAGGATAGGAAAGGATTATACAGAAGACATTACCTGAAGCATTCACTAGCTTTAGAATATAAAATTCATTGAATTCAGGAATTTTATCCAAAATAGCATGAAGGGTTATTGGCTTTGTTACTTCACCATCCATGAAGGACACAGTCCCATAAGTTTCATAGAACTCTTCTCCTGGCTTCAGCGCAGAGTCGTTTTCAAACAGCTGCCAGGTCAAAGAAACATTGCCAAAATGTCCTCTGTGTCTCACAACCCTGTTCAGTGATTTAGAAAGAGTGAACTTCATGGCAGGTTCACTTCAGTATTCAATAGGAAGGGAAAACATGGTGGCACTAATTTTCCTTACAGTGATAATTTAGATAGAGAGTTCTAACTAAATAAAAGTAAATACTACCAGTCAATTTATTTGCATACATTGATAAGATCCCCAGAAGACTTACAGTTTCACAGTACAATTCTAGTCCTGAGTATAGTACCTGTACCTTAAGGAGGAGTAATTTATGCAGGACTGTGCTAAGTAGTGCTGCTAAGCTATGCATCAGTTTGCCTTGTGCTTCTATTACAGAAATAATAAATATGAATGCACAGTAGCTCGTCAGGTTAACATTGGTTTTTAATGTGCTCGACTACTGTTAGACGTGTAAGGCAATCATCTATGTTTAATCACAAATATTTCTCCCTTTGCCATTAGTACTCCTTAAATGGCTTCCTATATCTGTATTAAATTAAGGTTGTGTTCTACAACTTGCAGAATCTATGATTATTCCAGTTTTAGAATGAAGTCAACTGAAACGTGTTTTTGTTTTTCTGTTTAGCATACTGGTAACAATTTTGTGAACTTCCAAAAGGCGCTACAAATAAAAAGTGAAGCAGCTACTCCTAGTGTCTTTATTAACTAACTGTATTTAACACAGAAGTATTCTGCTTCTGTCATGATGAAATAAATGATGAAATAAAGCACAGAACCATCAAACGGTTGAAGTTGGAAAGAATCTTTGGAAATCAGGTATTCTAATCTAGAGGGTCGCCTGGACCTTGTGACAAGTATCGTATCCAGGCGAGCTTTGAAAAGTTTCAGAGAAGGAAACTCTATAGCCTCTCTGGACAATATGCTCCACTACGAAGTCACCCTCACACTAAAGACGTCCTTCCTCCTATTCAGACAAAACTTCCTGTTTGTGTCCATTGCCTCTTGTCCTGCTGCTGGCCAAAACTGAAAATAGTCTGCCCCCATGCTCTTGACACTCTCCCCTAAGATATTTGACAAGATTTGACAAGATTGACTTGGCCCAGCTCTCCCAGCCTTTC